TCTGACAATGAACTGTCGCGAATCACGACTCGTGATATAACTCAACCTCTCCACCACTTCGAAACTCTTCCACAGAAACATATCATCGTGCACTGGTTCGTTTGGAAACATTGCTCTGTTTCGAGCTACTCTCACGACTCCGAACGATGTCCCGAGTCCACATGTCGCTGGGAAATGTTCTAAAAGCCGGTTGCCTACCACTTCCTCTAGCTTCCACCCCGCCACGCTTCCACGGTCCGGCGGATCCGCTAGCTCCGTTTACAGCTGATTTCCTCAAGTATTCCGCCATTTCAACCATGCAGCCTGTGCTCTTCGCCCAATGAACCCAACGAGCCCAGTCCCCTTCGGTATCAGCAGACAGGGTCTTCACATCTCCGAAAACAACCAAGCCCCGCTTAGCTCTAGTGAGCATCACGTTCATCCTCTTGGGATCTCCAGTAAAACCAATATCGCCGTCCCGATTGGATCGGACTGCGCTGAAGAGAATAAGCTCTCTCTCGCTTCCCTGGAAAGCATCCACTGTATTGATACTGATTCGCCCGACGCTCTCACGAGGCAGACGATAATCAGACTCTAACATTCTCTCAATCTGCGTCTTTTGTCCGCTGTACGGCACAACTATACCAATGTCGCCCGGCTCCATCCCCGCCTCGACGGCCACCACCATCGCATCGATCACCGCCTTGGCCTCGGCTCGGTTGGAGAAGCTCGTCCCCACTCTCGTCTCTCCACCACTCAATGCGTCAATATTCACCAGACACACCTGGACGCCGGACGCAGGCCAGTATAATCCTGGGATTTTCGCCCGCTCTCCGACTTCACTGTGAAGTCGGCCTTCGTAAAAATTGATATTAGAAAACTCAGCGATGCTGGGGTGCATTCTCCGCTGTACGTCAAGCAAGTGAAGTCTGCCACCAGACTCCAAAACACGCTCGAACAGACTCTTTCCCAAGCCTCGATCCGATGCAGCTGTCGAACATATAGTTGCCGACAGTTGCTTGTGGTCACCTGAGAAAGAGAGCCAACTCTACCGCCAATCAGCTCATTCAGCAGATGGGATGTGCTGGGACCTCATCACGTGCAAAGAGATCGCTGTTAAACTCGCTAGAAAGAGCAAAACTTACCTAATAGAACACAGCGTTTGGCACCCCGTGCCAGAGGCACCAACGTCGCTGGTTCAGTCGCTTGAGTGCACTCGTCAATGACGACCGAGTCGAAAGTAAGACCGTCGAGCATTTGGTGACCGCTCCCGATGCATGTCGCCACCAGCACTGGAAACCTAGTATATACAATCGAACGCACATTGCAGGTGTGATGATACAGAGTGGAGCCGAACATTTCCGAACGACATCATTAGAAATTTTCCTAACCTGTTCACGGCAATCTTGTCCATCTGTGCCCGCAAACCGGGCAAGCGGCGGAATTGATCGAGCTCCACAGCTCTTTTATATTCCTTCACTATCGGATGGCCTGAGAAAAGAGAACAGAATCAGAACTCTCAAGAGCTGACTGAGTATGATGATAGGAAGTTTCTATCATCATGCTCAGTTCCTATTAGGAACCAATTACTCCAACGTGGAGGGACAGTCAATTCAAACAACAAAATGCGCAAAGTAGCAAAACATGCTCCGCTCTCTCCGTTCACTATGCAATTATTTGTCATCAAACCCAAAGAAGATGACTCTATTTGAATTAGACCAGGAGATGGACTTACTTTCACTGGCTTAGTTCAAACGGGAGGGCATAGTCGATACACCACTATGCAAGTTAAAGTTTCACAAAAATCTGGTTTGGAACACACTTCATACCACCGAAGCGTTCCAAATACTTCAATGCCTATTGCAATGCTAGTGTTCACACTTGATCTCTCCGCTGACGCATCAGAGGCTATCAGGACAGTTACTCGTTTGCAAATGAACGGAATTTCTCACCCATCACACACTGAACGTCTGCGCACAAGAGTATATACAACAGAGCTTACCTCCAAGATAGTGCTCCACGGTCTCAGATAAACCTAGATCCTGCGAATCGAGCATCCGTCCAACTCTGTAACACTCGACGCCGTGTCTCTCGAGATGGTTGCGAGTATTGTCGGCCGCAGCATTTGAGTCCGCTACCACAAGAACACGACCTGAATCACCCACAAGCATCATCAATCGTCCTTGTCAGCTACTCAAAGACCAGGCAAGCCAAGACTAATGCAATGCATCATCGGAGTTCACAGTCGAGACGTCGTTTACACAGCAACGCATGAGGTTGCGTGTTAATTTCAAGCTAGACGGTCAGCGCTTCACTATCAATATAAGAGCACAACACTGAGCTCACCCTCGTCTCTTTGAAGAAGTTTCTTTTGCTTCAACGGTCGAATTTTATTCCGTACCCAATGCTTCACGATGGCAACAGCTGTATAGGTCTTGCCGGTTCCAGGTGGCCCTTGAATCAACGTCAAAGGCACATTCCAGGATCCGTTTACCTGAGAAAAAAGTAGCGCGCGCCCATTTGATCGATTGTAATGTCCACACTGACTACTCACCACATTTTTCTGGTTTTCAGATAAGGGCATACCCAAATCAGGAAGGTCTTCGGTGGGAGGCTCGAACGGCGGCGCCGAGCGGAGCAACGCATCTCGCATCGACTCGTCGAAGCGGAACCTTACACGGTTTTTCAAATTCAACCGAGATACTATTTCCATACGATTAATTCACTACTCACCCTGTATATGCAAATTTCCGACAGGTTCTCATATGTCTCGAAAAAAAATCACACATTTTCTCACAAGTCAGAACTCAGCCGTGCCTTGAAGGTTGGGAAACTACTCCTTACCTCTCAAGCTGTACAGTCCCCTTCAACTTGACGTTCGGCTTGATTGCACCGAAAAGACTGTTATCACAATAGGGAACTTCATACAGCACTCGAAGGGCCTCACACATCCTCGAATGACTAAAAGAAGGACTACGTCATGACGATCGTAACTCCACAACTCTGGTCACCTCACGTTGCTGTCATCAAGTGGGAGACAGCTCAGCTCCGTATTAGATAGTATACCACACTCTCGTGACTTCGCTTCAAGCTCGGCTTCC